AATTTCATCCCCAGATAAATTGCCCTGGAAATCATGTCATGGGAGGGACTTCTTCATTTATGTTGAATATTATCTATATGCGTCTTCTTTGTGGTTACGTTCAAGGGAGGGTGGCTGTGGGAGGGGGGCACAGGGGATGATGCAGTATTATTTAATGCAAAATTACATTTAATGTAAAGTATTACTATTATATTGCGATAAGTCTGACTTTTCAATTTTCAATGAGTTTATTTTGATTTTTATGATTTGAATGAGTGTTCGCACTGACTGGTGGGTCAAAACAATTTTTGGAGTCTTTTTTCATTTTTGTCTAAAACATCTCATAAAACACACAAGCATGGGAAGAGATTTTCAGATTTCTTTTGGGACCTCGGTGTTAACTTTATTGAGGCGTTTGCCGATTTCTAACATAGGAAATGCAACTAGCAAATAGACTGATTTCATTAGCAAGAATTACCTAATCTGAATTTATAGACTTGAAAATAGTCATCAAATTGCAAAACCTAATTATGTCCTTCAAGGTTTCTTCGACAATGAGCTGAATGACGCAAGAGTACTTATTTCTAGCACTTCTTAGAAGTCGTAAGCTATTTTGTAACAGATATTGACACTACAGATTCGGGTAAAATGAGGAGAAAATATAATCATTTTATATTTGCATGTGGCACAAAACAATGAAATACATTCAATACATATAATATTATAAATGTACAGTAATATACAATTTATGTAAGTTCCTGTTAAATTCTCAATTCTCATGCAATTCTACAAATTTCTGTTGTTTAAAAATCATATTGATAAAATATATTTTGGCTGAAAATGACGCATATTCAATAAAACAAATATATAACTATCCTGAATTCTCAGATTCAATTAAAGTCAGCTGGCTTAAAGTGGGTGTGGCTTTAAGCTATAATGATTGACATGTACTGCAAAGCACTTCTCAGAACCTACAGCCAAACATACATATAAAGCAGAATTATGCAATATTTATTGATTACACAGCTCCTATTTGATTTGTGATAAAAATTTGGAATATCATTGTATAATATCCACATGGAGTTATGCATCAAGGTCAAATGTTTATATTGGCGGTAAATTAGGTCATTGCAGGGGTTACATATCAAATTCAAATATTTATAGGGGTGGTTCATAAGATCATTGAGGCTATACATGAACATCGAATTGTTATATGGGTGTTATGTTATTAGGTCATTGGGGTTACCGTAGCCTGTTCTTGCATTGTATATCAAATATTTATAGGGGTGGTTCATAAGATCATCAAGGCTATACATGTATATCAAATGTTTATATGAGTGGTTCATTAGATCATTGGGGTTACATATCAAATTCAAATAATCATATGCAGTGGCGTAGCCAGGATTTGACAGGAGGGGGTTCGAATATTTTCTGAAAAAATCTGGTGAAAACTTTTCATAGTTTGCTTAATCTCTGCCTTTGGTTAAATTTTGGTCCAATATTATTAATCTTATTAATTTTTGCTAGAATATAAATGTTTACCAAAGTCTAAATTCTCTGTATATGGTTGGTTCATAAGATCATTGTGGTTACATAACTGAAATCTTCAATTCTATTAAATTTATCAGATGAAATTTGACAAATATTTAAGAAATTTGGGAGCTAACATTGTTCTCATTCCCCTCAATCAAATAAACCAAATAAATATTTTACTGAAATTTATGTAGACATTTTCCATTAATTTGAAACTATGTTCATCCCGAGATATTCACCATAGAAATAGGTAATATCTGTTCTGTTTTAAATCTGCAAGTTTTGACCAATCATACAAGTGCAGGCCAGGATTTTCCAAGGGGGGTTCACTTTTCCCAAAAATTCTAGGGGGGTTCACTTTGGCAAATTTAGCCCAAAATCACTCAAAAGATAGTCAGAATGGTGAAAAACTGCATGATTTTAAAATAAATTCTGATTCTGGCCATTGCCAAAGACCTCAATCGATATGCAATGCAATGAACAGAACAAAAAATTTTGGTCACATATTGTGCCACAGCCCATTAATCATAGGATTGATAGACTGAAAAGTCGTTATTCTTTATATAGTTAATGGACAGAGGGACAAAAGGATTGACACAGACAGACAGATCCAGCGATGTAAAGGTGATTACAAAATGGCTCACCATATCAGTTAAAAATGAAATTGAAAGTACACTCATACTTTCTAATGAATCCATCCCAGAAGCAATATGACAATTTGATCAAATCCTCTTTCTAAATATAGAATTTCTGAGAAACTTATTACCAATGAAAAATCATTAATGGTTAAGTACATCTTAGTCCAAATACCTTAAAACATTATGAATAAAACTACATGTACAGTGATTCCATTATAACGGCGTCCTTCAATGGAGAGGACATAAATCAAGATTGGGTGGATGTAAATTAAAAAATAATTACGTTTTTGGGGCGCAATTTGAACTTCGTAAATCACTTCGTGAATCCACTAAATAATTGAAGGAAATTCTATTTCTAAAAGAAATAAAATTTTCTTTCGAAGTTTCCTTCCCGGAGGTTGATTTCTGATCGAAATAGTACGAGACATGTGATAGGACAAATAGTTATCCAATACTCGATATCCAAGCAGTAATCAGTACGAGTCTTACGATTGGCCGCTAGCTGAAGACCCGATTTAAACCATTTTCTATTGGTCAAGTGTGATCACAAGATCATTATTTAAGAATGCGCATGCGCAAGAAACTGAACCCAAAAATTGAAACTTGCGAAGATTGCCCTTAAACTAAAGCAATATCAGTAGCTAATTGCTTCGAAATACGCAAAGAAAATGTGTTTCTAATGGTTGAATATAAGTTATACCTCACAAGTGATGGTATCTGTATCATTCAATGACATACTAGACTCGCCAGAACACTGATTTAGACCAATAAATAGCAAAAGCGATACAAAATTTCATCAATTTTATTTTGATTAGTGTAAAAGCGTGACTTTGAATTCCCGGGAACAACTTTTCAAGGGACGCAGTTTTTTGAGGGGAGAGGGAGACGCATTTTTTGAAAAGCATTACATCCCAGGGACACAATCTTGGACAAACCTACTGAAAACACTGATGTAATAGTAAAACGCACATTCCATTTAAAGGATTGAACGGAAGACAAACCGCATTCTAAAAAAATCATAATGATGAAGGATGACTGCATTAACCCACATGGACTCATATATTAATTTCCATGTATCTCAATAAACGTGATCAATCAGAACACTCCTATCACTGATATATGAAACTTGAACTCCCACCTTATGGCGTCATCTACTATATCAAATATTGAATTAAAAAGAAAACTGATTTGAGGTGTGAGTTTATGTGATTGTGCAAATAATATCCACCAAGTACCTTTTGATTATTTTTCTATTCTTTCAAAAAGCGAACACACACAAAAAATCTGCTTGAGGGAAAACTGTTTCAAAGATCGGTTGCATTAACACAAGGAGAACACGCTTCTCGAACTTATCACAACCTCAAGGTTATGACATCAGCACCCAGAGAAGGACAAGAATATGATGGCAGTCATACCTGCCAACAGCAACTTAAACAAGGTCACAAAATAATGTCTCAAAGGTTTATTATTTTTTCTGTGTTTCTTCCCTTCATGCTAAAATACACCCCCTCCAAAAGTTTGGTAATCCCATCTACCCATCATATAGCTTTCACAAGCCTGTATATGCAGGTTTTTCATGCCATGTCTGACATTTATGGCAAATGATGTTTTTCAATGGCTAAATATAATGACTTCAAAATGTGATACAAATATTAATTTTGTTTCCAGATTTTCGGAAAGAGTGTAGATCACCTGGTTTATTTTTTCGCAAATAAGGAAAGTGCTGGTGGCTATAATCAGACTTCCAAGAAGTGAATATGAAATATATTGTTAACAAATAAAAACCTTTTCTAGTCCAAGGAAAGAGGAAATTATCTTTGACAAAGCTTCAATATTGTAGATCTTCTCTTAAGGTAGAACCACAGGGGCGGATCTGGGAACCAACAAGGGGGGGGGGGCAAATAGGTCTGAGAAAAACTTCCGCGTCTGAGGGGAAAAACATTTTTGGTCTCTAAAAACAAAAAGTGGGCCCTAATCTTGAGGCACATTTTCTTCTAAATTGGCCTAAAATTAAAAATAAAGCCCAGTAAGGCCTTAAGGCCTGTATTGGCCCAAAAAATTTCTAGCACCCAATTTTTTTTGTGGCCCCACCCAAGGGGGTTGTTCTAGGGTATATACTGTTTTTATTTTCTAATATAGTGTTTTCCAAGCACTTCAAACTATAATGTCTTAAAAACAGTCTTATCACATAATGTTGCTTGGTGATGGGTGAATACCTTTAAAAGGATGGATACCTCTAGAAAGATCAGTACCTATAACAAGATGAGTTCCTTTAAAAGGAGAGCACTTTCAAAAGGAGGAACCTTTAAAAGGGTGAGTCCCTTTGTATGGATGGGTCCCTTTCAAGGATGAGTACCTTTAAAATGATCAGAAGTTTAAAAGGATGAGGTCCTTCAAAACCTTTCAATGGGATCAGGCTACACCAATTGAGCTTTTAACTTACTATTATGGTTTTGACAAACTCTAGTGTATATGGAAGTTAACTTACTTCATTCATATGCAAGATACTCATTTGCTATTCAAATACCCATCCTTTCAATGGGACCAGGTTGTTCATGAGAAGTAGCACCAAGCTGTTGAATTATTATTATTGGTCAATCTCTAGTGCAGAGAGTTAACTTTATACCCTTCAAAGGCAAAATACTCATTATTTGTAACTCGATTACACTTTGAAAATCTAAAAACAGGTACCTTTCAATGGGATCAGGCTGCTCATGAGGTGTAGAACCAAGTTGTTGAATTACTATTATTGGTCAATCTCTAGTGCAGAGAGTTAACTTACTACCCTTCATAAGCAAAATACTCATTATTTGTAACTCAATTACACTTTGAAAATCTAAAAACAGGTACCTTTCAATGGGATCAGGCTGCTCATGAGGTGTAGCACCAAGTTGTTGTACCATCACAGCTTGGTCAAATTCTAGTGTAGGGACACTGCTGTCAGATGTCACCACTTGTTCCTTGATCTCTTCCAGATCTTCAATAACTTTTTCAATCCTGAAAGTAGATAAGTGAGCTATTTATGGCAATGTTAAACAAGGGTTGGTTGGTTGGCTGGTTTGGTTGGTCAGTCAGTTGGGTTGGGTTGGCTGGTTGGGTCAGTCAGTTGGGTTGGGTTGGCTGGTTGAGTTGGTTGGTCAGGTTGGTTGGTTGGATGGTAGGTCAGTCATTCCGTTGGGTTGGTTGGTTTGGTTGGTACGTCATTCAGTGGGGTTGTATGGTTGGTTGGTTGAGATGATGAGGACATGTGATGTCATAATTCAGAAAAAGATGTCTTAGAAGTCAAAGTATCGCTGTTACGTCTGTAATATTAGGCGAGTAGGCCAAAGAAATAAAATATGAGTTTAATAGTTCAACTGACCCTATGGGAAAATTTGGTATCATAGCAAAGCTCAGAGAATTGTCTATGTCGTGTGATAAATAATTTGTGTTGGAATAGGTGACGTTGTCATGGAAACGGGCGTTGAACAAAAGATGTCCTTAATAAGAATAAAATGTACAGCACCATTGCAAGGGATATCTGGTTAAGTCAATGTGCAACTTTGAAAGAATGAAAATTAAGGAATTGAAAGAATTTTAGTTTATCTTCAACATTTAACTCAAAATTATACATATTCTACTCTATTTTGATTATTGTGATGTCATAATGGTATATTTTGAATGAAAAACAGTTGGTCTCATATGAAATTATTAACACCATTAGATTGTGTAATCACAATTGCTTACAAATGTTACCTTTATGTATATCAAATGAAAGCTACTGCTCTCACGATCATTTTGGTATATAAATTGTAAACATTGATCATTTACTCTTTGAGATATTATGATATAAGGTGATTCAAATTGTAGCCTGAGTTACAGAAATTATCAGCAGTTAGGCATTATCACAAATGACAAAATATTGGCGAATTTCTACCATTGTATACACTCTTATTGATATCATAACTTTAGTAGTATTTTGACCCTATGAGAAAAGTTGGTATCAATGCAAAGCTTTGACAACTGTCTATGATGTGTGATATATGATTAGTGTTTAAACAGGTGCCGTTGCCATGGAAACGGGCGTTGAGCAATAGGTATCCTTAATAAGATTGAAATACGTATAGGAATGGGCATTTCCAGCCAGTGATCCAAATATGTATATTTTATTAATAGCAATTGTGTGGAAATGGCCAATTTTTATCAATCTTGAACTATAATGACTAAATGATTCTATATATTAAATTTTAAAGTGTTATTGTGACATCACAATAGCAGATTTCAAATGAGAAACAGTTTGCTTTACATGGTATCCGTGAAACTGATATCTTCCATGATTACAATTGCAAAAGAATATGCACTTCATGGATATCAAATTAAAGCTGGTGCAATAACGAGTATTATGATAAGTAAATCAACATGATTAGATCAAGCTATGCCGTGGTTTCATGCTTTGAATCTGGGGTATCAGTGGTTATAGACACAAAATACTGTATGAGAGGTCTGAGACTAACATCTTTTATGCTAGTCTCGGGAGAGGTGGAACAACTTTTTATCCTGATCGATGAGTCTGAAAGTCGCAAGAAAGGTGTTTTCCTCAGTACATACGGTATGTTGTCATGTATGTCTCATATCAGACAAAGCTTTATAAACATTTAAAGTCACTAATTTAAGTAAATACTCCTATTGTGATGTCATTATAATAAATGATTTACAACTTTTGGTGTTTTTTAAAGCTGCACTAAACTGTTTTACTCATTTTGGACATGGGCGTGATTTAGAAATAATTATATTCATTAATTCCGATTGGCTTGGTCTCTTTATTAGAAACGATTTAGAAAAGTACCCAAAATAAATTATTTTTCGGTGAAACTTATAAATTGTTCTTAATGATTTGAAAGTTTCATGTTCATTAAAAAAATAGCAGGGCGTTCAAAACTTTTGGACCCCCTCTTATATAAATTTTGTGAAGACTAATTATACCACTTTCGGAATTCATCGAGATGTATTTGCAAGGGATAATTTTTCACAAGAATTATTTTTTTGTGAAGTCGATTATAAATATTTTTGTTATTGAAATGCGTACAAATGAGAAACTAATGCATATTTCTACTTTGGTTCAGCCTTCAAATTTTGAAATCACGACATGTCCATATATGGCAAAAATATCAATGTTGCACTCCATTGAGCCAATCATCCATGATAACTTCACATACTGTACGGCATGTTCACATGACCTCAAAAAGTCTGCAAAAATATTCCTTCAATAAATTCATGATTATTTGAGGATTCTTTTCATGTAGTCGACTATTGGATAAGTATCAATCTTACAATGTGAAATATACTTTAAAAATAATTAACAATTTAATTTGTATACAATCAACAATTTTAAAGAATGATTTCATAAGAATTTATCATTCAATCAAGTTAGGAATACTGTGTTTATTATATAAATCAAATTCTGGTTCTGGCATCGCCTATGTTTTAAATGGGAGTTGCTATGTTTTAAATGGGAATTATTTGAGCTAAGGACAATGTCTATCTAGGCACAACCAGGGATAGGGCCTTTTGTGGAACAAAAATGCGAACTGCTATGGATTGACGGGATACCACTGTGGCCTTCTATGGAACAACCATGACCATGTAGTAATCTACAAGAGTCTTCCTTGAAATCACTGTTGTGCTGGTACTGGGCCTTCTATGAAGCCACTGTCCCTTATTCAGAAGATTCTAAATGCCAATCAGGACCTTCTAAGCAGACACCATCAGATGTATGGAAATCATTAAAGTCTTATTTGGACCTAATGTTTCCATCATTGAAAAAACGAAGGCCCTCCTTCAAGGAACTGTCTTTGTTTTTTGTTTTTTTATACATAGATTTATTCCTTTAGTTAACAATTATAGACATGCAATTGATTGCCAAACTTTTATAAAAAACATTAGCGGCAATTTTAGACAATATGAATAGGAATGCATGATTTAACATTTAGAAATTCATCAAAGTAATGTTATAATTCAGATAAGAAACTATAATCCCATGGGCCAGGGATGAGTTAACACATGCATGTAAAAATTAGCCAAGCAAACCAATCAATTTGGCTCAAACTTTGATCCACAAAATGGCTCATTAGTTCTATTAATTTTTCATTTAATGAATTATCTAAATCTTCATCACCATACAAAAGAACTGAATTTTGTCAACTGTGTTCAAACTCTGAACCAAAAGATGAAGATCTGTCTTTAGTCCTTTATGGTTCCACTATTTTGGATCTTCAAGGATATTCTCTAAGGCCAACTAGGAAGCACTAGGGGCTATAAACACAACACTAATACCCTAATACCTATTAGGGTACAAATCGGGTCAGCATGTATGAAGTATGGTGGTCTGTCTGTCATTCTCTGTCTGTCCAGACATCTCCTCCGCCTAGACCGTTTGAACCTGAGCTCCCATACTTGGTCAACATACTAAGTGGATTGGTGGACATTCTACGAAGATCAGAGTTAAAGTCATTTAAAGGTAAAAGGTGACTTGAGGTCATGGTTATTCCAAGATCATAGGTCAATATCTAGATATTTGGTGATGTAAGGTCCTTGGGGCTGCTGTGACCCTTGACGACCATTGATTAAGTAACCTAAGGTCAAAGTCAATTTTTATGGGTCAAGGTCGAGGGTTGCTATCTAAGTAAGTACCTTAAGGGCTATTGTGACCCTTGTCGACCCATGATTACGTGACCTGAGGTCATACCAAGATCAAAGGTTGATATTTAGATATTTGGTGTTTTAAGAGCCTGGTGGGCTGTTGTGATCTTTGGCAACCCATGACTAGGCGACCTTCGGGTTAAGGTCGACATTATATTTGTCAAGATCTCAAGAACAAAGTTCAACACTTACTTGAAGGATACTGTAACCCTCAGTGACTCATGATTAAGTGACCTGAAGTCAAAGTCAATGTTTCTTGGCCAAGGTCATATTAAGGTCAAACGATCAATACAGACGAGCATTTGATGGGAGCTGTTGCCATGTGGAGCTGTTATGGACCCTTGGTGACCTACTCTAATGGGTAGATTGCTAGTTCTAAGCAGCTGAACGTTTAACTAGGTAACTCTACAGTATTAAGTTTGGAGAAATTATTATCCCACCGAATGAAGTTCGAGGGGGATATAGAAAAGCTGTCCGTCCGTCCCTCCGTTCGTCCGTTCTTGTGTCCGGGCAATAACTCAAATAACGGTTGATGGATTTCATTCAAATTTTATAGGCTTATGCCTTATGGGTGTAGGACCTCTGCTCGAGAAGGAATTTTCAATATGGCTGATAAATTAAAAATGGCGGCCATTTTTCGAAAAAATATAATCTTTGATTACTCAAATACTAGTTGATGGATTTGGTTCAAATTTTATATGCTGTTGCGCGGGTACAAAGGAGCCTTGCTGAAAAAGACATTTTCAAGATGGCCACCATATTTTCGTAAAAAAAACTTTATCTTTGATAACTCAAATACCATTGAATGGATTTGGATCAAATTTCATATGCTGTTGCCTGGATACAAAGGAGCCTTGCTCATGAAGACATTTTCAAGATGGCCACCATATTTCAAAATGGCGGCCATTTTTCGTAAAAACGTTATCTTTGATAATTCAAATACCATTGAATGGATTTGGTTCAAATTTTACATACTGATGCCTAGGGACATAGGAGCTCTGTTTCGAGGAGGGATTTCCAAGATGGCAGCTAAATTTCAAAATGGCCGCCATTTTTCATAAAATAATATAACCTCTGATAACTCAAATACCAGTTGATGGATTTGGTTCAAATTCTATATGCTGATGCCTAGAGACAAAAAAGTTCTGCTCAAGAAGACATTTTCAAGATGGCCACTGAATTTCAAAATGGCCGCAATTTTTCGTAAAAAAACAATTATTGATAACTCAAATACCAGTGGATGGATTTGGTTCCAATTTTGTATCCTGATGTTTATGGAAATAGGAGATCTGCTTCAGAAGAAATATCAAAGGTGTCAG